GAACAGCTGGTCGTTTCAAACTGCTGACCTTGCGGTTCACAGCCCGACTTGTAACCACTATGCTACCAGAGCTCCTTTTTTTAAATATGGTTGAAGATATTTTTCTTGGGACATTTTGTCCTCAGGTATCAGTGTTAATGACAGTCCCTAGGGTCCCAGAACTAATAATGCCCGATTGAGACCAGCTGAATTTGCCATCCAAATGTTGGAGGGCTGAAATGTGCAGTGTCACCCGGGCAAGGTAGTGAGTGACATAGACTGGGTGTTGGACCCCAAGGTCCTTTTCCTTCTCGCTGTTCAACTTATAAGTAGACTTAAGGAACCTTTATATAAGGAGACATGTAACTCCGCAGTTCAGATTTTCTCTCATTCCATGAAATATTGTTCAATAATTATGGCTGGAGAAAGAGAATTTAGTGTTCTGTGTTACGGACTTTTTTTCAACTTTCAGGGAAAATTCAGGAGATAGTCTAATGGTTCTGAGTAGACCCTGAGTTTTCTGCATTTTTCTTTGTATTTTTGACACAGCTGCCTGAGCCCCATCCTTAGACTTAGCCACAGGTTTGATTCTCTGCAGAGGAAGCAGACACCCTAGACAAACATCACACAGCCCTCAGCTCTGCACTGTTCCTGGCACACTGGCCTTCAATTCCTTTTTTCTTTGCATTCATCTTACCTTTCCTTCCTGCCTCATACATGTGGGGCAGAGTTGCATCTACACAAGTCTAACCTGTTGTTGTGTGCCTTAGTCGATTCTTATTTGTAGTGACCCTGTATAGGGTTTCCAAGAGCAGCTTGTGGGTTTGAACTGCTGACCTTGGGGTTAGCAGTTCTGTACTTACCCTACAGTGCCACACTAGGACTCTAGGCAAATTCAAACACCTATTTTTTGAAACTGAATTTCTTGAAATTAAAAAGGCTGAAATTGTATTTTACAGATGTCCTATATTTTGCACGTTGGTATCCTATTTGTTGTACATAAACGTGAACAAGGAGAGCTGCATAAAAACTGCTAGAAGGGAAATTTTAAAGGGACACTCAAGGGTGATTTTGACTAGAATCCCATTTTTACCCTGGACTCTTCGCTTTAGAATGTAATGCTGAGTAAGATGGCACTCACTGAAATGGAATTTACTAAAATTCCAAACATACTTTTTAGTGTGTGTGAGGAAAAGGATGTTCATTCTGCATAGTTAAGAGATGGAATATGGATGTGAGACTGAGGGTCCTGCTGATGCTCTGGGAAGCAGGTTGAAGCCAGGGGGTTGGGGTGGGACATGACCTCACAATTTTGAGATGGGGTTTTATTTTGCAGATTCATGCATTGATCACAGGCCCATTTGACACTCCTTATGAAGGGGGTTTCTTCCTGTTCGTGTTTCGGTGTCCGCCCGACTATCCCATCCACCCACCTCGGGTCAAACTGATGACAACGGGCAATAACACAGTGAGGTTTAACCCCAACTTCTACCGCAATGGGAAAGTCTGCTTGAGTATTCTAGGGTAAGAGGAGACTTCTAAGTGGCCAAGTTGGTTGTTAGCAAATAAGTACTCTAGACCAGCCTTTATCAACCAGGAACCACAGAACACAGAAAATGATCCGAGTGATTATTTTCTCAATTCTCCCCAGGATGGTACACAGCTAGTGTCATCATTCTAGATACCAAAGAGAGAAGTTAATTCATTGCTTCTAATGGATGCCTGAGGAAAGTGGTTCTCAAGTAAAGAATTTCTAGAGATGCAGATTCTGGGGCCCCACCCTAAACTTACTTGCTTCTGGAGGGTGGAGCTTGCTTGTAAAGTGAATGTTTTTACAAGCCCTCCAGGTGTTTCTGGGTGCTAACACCAGTTTGAGAGCCATTCCCTTAGGGCATATGGACAAATTCTCTCCTGAACAGGTTGAGAAAGGCTGCATATCTGGGCCATTCAGCTTTGTATGTGTCTTTCTGAGTTTCAATGAGTGACTTCAGAGGTGGTGGTGAGGGTGATTGTGATATTTTAACAATTGAATGAAAAATGAGGAAAGTTGGTAATTGAAATCACATGTGTTTTATGCAAGTTTTGACTACAACTTGTTTCTCACCTCTACTTTGATTTTTCTTGGTGGAGTTCCCATCCATTCCCTCTTGTTTTAACAATTCAGAATGGGAAGGGCTTCTGGTCTTCTTAGTGTGTGTGAATTTTCCTGGTGTTGAAAACAGTGAAAATTGAAGTTGAGAAAGTCACCCAAGCTGGTGATACTGCTTCTTCTCCTCCAACATACCTCCAGGTTTGTGAGGAAAAGGCAGTAGAAATTATAAACTAGAGACATGGCTCACTTTTTTAGAACTCTCCCAGATAAGATCCAAGGTTATGTGGCAGTCAAGAAGTCCTTAAAGAAGGTCACCTTAAACAAGACCTTTATTTCATTACAGGAACCAAACCCACTGCTGTGGACTTGATTCCGACTCATAGCTACCCTGTATATAGGATGAATCTTTACAGCCTCATCCTTTCTCCTTTGGGGTGGTTGGTGGGTTTGGATCACTGACCTTGCAGTTAGTAGCCCAGTGCCTACCTAACCCACTGCACCATCCTTTTTTACTTCATTAAGGTACCTGGTAGGATTGTTGTTGTCAAGTGCTGTTGAGTCGGTTCTGACCCATAATGACCCTGTGTAGGGTTTCCAGGGAGCAGCTGGTGAGCTTGAACCGCTGACCTTTCAGTCCAGTGTGTTAACCCACAGCGCCACACCAGGACTCCCTGGTAGGATAGTGGTATATATAATTCATAGTGGTATATGTAATCTACAGAGGCAAGAAAATGAAGTCATTACTTCTGTATGCAGTGTGTTTATGAAAGTATTTCTGTAGCAAGTTCTCCCTTGATAAGACAATATAAAAATATTTTGAAGAGACACCAGCTCACAGTGGGAATGGGAGAAGTAAGTGGGGTAAGAGGTTATCAGATGTGTGTTGGGTGGAAAAAGCGAAACTATTCTGAAATTGAAATTTTCCATGAAGAATCACGAAGTGGAAAATTCCCTTGTGTTCTTAGTGGACCTCATTAGCTTTATCATTCTCTCCCTTTCCTTCCCTACATAGGAAAAAAATATTAGGCTAACTTGCTGACAAAGGAAATTTAATAAGCATTTACCTTGTAGACTTGAATTCCTAAATACGTGAAACATAGAAGACAGTCAAATCTAGCGTTCTGGGGGCGAGCAGAGCTGAGAAGTTTGAGTAAGCTCTGCTGAAGTTACTGTTAGTTATTACTTACTTGGGCTTTCCTCAAGTACACCAGGGAGAGGGAAGTGGTCACTTAACTTGAACAACCCTGTCCTGGTTCAAGTGGTGGCCCCACGTGTATACTTGATCAGGTTTATGAGAAAGGAGTCATTTTGGTTATTTCTCTTTACATTCAAGGTGTGTTCCATGTATTATTTTTAGACTCTCCAGAGTCTGGAAACCCGCCTATTTTCTTCCTGTCTTTGGCATACATCTCTAATCTTCAGAGAAGATTCCTGATCATCAATCCTACCACATGACCTATAACCAGGTCAATCCTACCACATGACCTATAACAGTATTCCTGATCATCAATCCTACCACATGACCTATAACCAGATGGCTTTGGTCACCTGTGTGCGGCTCTGCTCAACTCCATCACCATATATAAACAAACAAGCTCTTGGAGGGCCACAAAGGTTAAAGTTAAGACTGCCTTAGGAGCTGTTTTCTTTCATTGTGGTTATGGTGACCTTCCCTAGCTACTGTTCCCCCCCCCCATTCCAAAGAAAAGCCCTTCAAAATGATCTTCTTTGCTTTACCATCTCCTCCTTTGTTTCACTTCTTGGTGTGAGGACTAGGTGGTTGAATGATTTCTGGTGTCTGAGAGTGAGACCGAGGCCAGGAGATTCCAGAGTATTAATAGTGAAAGCGAAACTCTGAGTCACTTACGGAGGTGCTGCCGGTCTCCAGAGTACTTGCTCTCTGATCTTTCTGAAGTAGCCTTTCCCGTCTCTCTCTGCCTCACCCTCTTCCTTTTCCTGTGGTGTGTTTTACAGTACGTGGACTGGCCCTGCCTGGAGCCCAGCCCAGAGCATCTCTTCGGTGCTCATCTCCATCCAGTCCCTGATGACTGAGAACCCTTATCACAATGAGCCTGGCTTCGAACAGGTAAGACCAGGTGGGCCCAACTCTGGGGTGTGGTGTTGAATGTTGGGTATGAAGAAAATTGAGAAGTTTGTTAGAGAGTTTCTTTTGGGGGGTTGGAAGAGGGGAAGGCTGGTAGATGCATGAGACTGGTCTATAACTCCTATATTTGCAGTTGTTGCTATAGGAGAGATAGGGTGCCGGTGTGTGTGTGTGTTTCTTGTCACTGCTGTTAGACGCCATCTAGTCAGTTCCAAGTCATAGTGACCCCCTATGCACATTAGAATGAAACACTGCCAGTCCAGTGCCATCCTCACTGTCACTGTTACCTCTGTACCCATTGTTGCTGCCATTGAGTCAGGTAACCTTATTGGGAATTTATAAGAGTTACTCTGTTTGCTCAGCAAGAAAATTATTAGAACTCATTAATAGATTTCGATGAAGTGGCAGGGTATGAGCTCAATATATAAGAACAGTTAAATTCCTTTATACTAATAAAGAGCTCTGAAAAGGAAACCAGGAAAGCAATACCATTTTCACCCAAAAGGTGAAATACTTGGGAGTAAATCTAACCCAAGAAACAAAAGTCCTATACAAAGAAAACTATGAAACAACAACTACAAGAGACCACAAGAGACCTGCAGAAATGGAGGAATATACCACGCTCACGAATAGGAAGACGTAACATTGTGAAAATGCCAACACTTACCCAAAGCAGTCTGTAAATATAATGTAATTCCAATCCAGATTCCAACATCATTCTTTAAAGAGATGGAAGAACTAATTACTAACTTTCTATGGAAAGGAAAGAAATACTGGATAAGCGAGCCATTACTAAAAAAGAACAAAGTGGGAGGTCGCTCACTTTCCAATTTCAAAACTTAATACACGGCCACAGTAGTCAAAACAGCCTTGTACTGGTATAACGGAAAATGTATAGATCAATTGAACAGCATTGAGAACCCAGAAGTAAATCAATCCACCTACAATCAGTTGATCTTCAACAAAGGGCCAAATATATAAAATGGGATAGCGGTAGTCTTTTCAACAAATGTTACTGGCAAAACTGGTAATTCATTTTCAAAAGATTAAAATAAGACCCATATCTCACACCATATATAAAAATGAACTCCACATGAATTAAAGACATTAAATGTAAAGCCTAAAGATCATCCGTGAGAAAAATAGGGATAATTAGGGCTGTGATACATGGCCTAAATACAGTATCACACATAATTAAAATCACATAAGCAGAAGACAAAGTGAGATGCTAGGACCTCCTAAAAATGAGACACCGTGCATCAAAAGGACTTCACCCAAAGAGTAAAAAGAACCCACAGACTGGGGAAACAGTTTTGGCAGTGACATATCAGACAAGGGACTACTGTATAAAATTGATAAAACACTTCAGCACCTCAACAAGAAGACAATCCAATTTAAAAATGGCAGAACTATAGAGATCATCCATGACAAAATGGGGACAAACTTACGGGCGCTAATACATGGCATGAATACATTATCAAACATAACTGAAGACACACAGACAGAAGACAAAATAGATGACTGGGACTTCCCATAATCAAAGGATTTCACCAAAGGAGTTAAAAGAGAACCTACAGACTGGGAAAAAATGTTTGGCAATGACATGTCATACAAGGAACTACCAAGAATTTATAGAACACTTCCAACACCTCAACCAAAAGACAATCCAGTTAAAAAACGGGCAGAGACATGAACAGATACTTCACCAAAGAAGACATTCAGGAAGCCAACAAACGAAGAAATGTTCATGATCATTAACTGCTGTTGTTGTTAGTGCCTTTGAGTCAGTTCCGACTTATAGCCACCCTCCCTATAAGGTTTCCAAGGAGTGGCTGGTGGGTTTGAACCACCAACCTTGTGGTTAGCAGTCCAGTGCTTATCCTACAGAGGTGCAGTTCAAAACAACAATGCGATACCATCTTATCCCAGCATTAATTGCTGGTGGGACTGTAAAATGATGCAACCACTGTGGAAAATACGGAGTCCTGGTGTGGCGCTATGGGTTAATGCGCTGGGCTGCGATAACGGTTTGAATTGCAGGGTGGGTGGTTCGAACTCACCACTTGCTCCTTGGAAGCCCTATACAGAGTCGTTATGGCTTGGAACCAACTTGATGGCACTTAACAGCAAAAGGAAGAACTGTGGAAAATGGTATGGCACTTTCTTAAAAAGTTGGAAGTAGAGTTACTGTATGACCTAGCAGTTCCTCTACTTGGTATATATCTTCAAGAAATAAGAGCTATGACACGAATAGATATATGCACACCTATGTTCAAGGAGCTCTGGTAGCGTAGTGGTTACGAATCGGGCTGCGAACCTTAAGGTCAGCGGTTCGAAACTACCAGCCGCTCCGCGGGAGAAAGATGAGGCTTTCTACTCCCGTAAAGATTTACACCCTCGGAAACCCTGTACAGGGTCGCTATGGGTCGGAATCGACTCGACGGCACTTAACAACAACAACAACAATGTTCATTACAGCACTATTAATAGCAGCAAAAACAGGGATGCAGCCTAAATGCCTGCCATCAGTAGAAGAATGGTCAAACAAACTTGTACACATACACACAATGGCATGCTCAACTTTGAAGAATAAGGATGAATCTGCAAAATGCCTCACAACATGGATGAATATGGAGAACATTACACTGCATGACAAATACTGTGTAAAACCACTGTTGTAAAAAGTTACAAGGTCTTCTTGATGAAAGACACCTTCTGTGATGGTTACCTGGGGTGGGGGTTATTCAAGGGCTAGAGGGTAGACACGTTCACATGGGTGACAGTATACGAACGGGAGATTGGCACAGGAAAGATGAAGGTAACAAGAGACAAAGGAATGCAAGAGTTAAAATTGAATAGAGGTAAATAACTGTTAAACAATGGTACATGGAAAGAATTACAATCATTGTAGTGAAGTGAAGTGTATGATTTGTTGAATGTAAAACTGATGATCTGTTCTATAAACCTTCATTGAATTCACAATAAAAGGATTAAAAAAAATGGACAGAAGATGCAGCGAGCAAACATGAAGAAGAAATGTTTATGATCATTGATCATTTGAGAGCTACAAATCAGAACAACAATGAGATACTATTTTTACTACAGCTTTAATAGCATAGTTCACAAAAACAAATACTGGTGAGGGTATGACGAGACTAAGACTCTTCCTATACTACTGGTGGGACTGTAAAATGGTGCAACCACTGTGGAAAACGGTAAGGAGCTTCCGCAAAAAATTGGAAATGGAAATAACCGTATGACCCAGTAACCCCTTTACTTGGTATATATCCTCAAGAAATAAGAGACGTGATGTGAATAGGTACGTGCACACTCATGTTCATTGCAGCACTATTGACGATAGCAAAAGATGGACCAAATACCCATCAACAGAAGAATGATTAAACAAACAGGTATATATACACACAGTGGAATACTACTCAGTATTGAAGGAATAACAATGAATCTGCGAAACACCTCACAACTTTAATGAATTTGGAGGACATGCTGAGTGAAATTCATTGGTTAAAAAAGACAAATATGTATGAACAGATTGTAAACTTTTTAGAAAAGGTTTTCTGATAAAGTTGTATGATAGTTTACGGGGTGGGAGGGAAGAGAAAATTATTCCCTGGCTAGACAGTGTAGACACATGTTAACATGGGTGACAGGGCAGGCAACAGACGAGGGAGGTTAGTTAAGGAAATATGAAGGGAGCCGAAGAGACAGGATTGCAAGTGAATAGAGGTAAATACTGTTAACTGATGGTACATGGAAGAGATTACAGTCATTGTAATGAAGTAAAGTATACGATTTGTTGAATGTCATACTGATGATCTGCTCTGTAAGCCTTCATTCAATTCCCAATAAAAAGTTTTAAGACTTACTCCATTGGACTTAGCTTAGTGTATGAGGCGGAGTCACTGGGATCGTTTCTGACCCTGCTTGGTGAGCTGTTGAAACCAATGTTATTTTTGTGTGCTTCCATCTAGTATCCCTGAAGGTGCTCCCCAATGATTAAGCTGAACCCACTGTTTTTCTGGGGCTTTGAGGTACCATCACCTGCAGAGCCAAAAGGACCTTCTTATTACCTGAGGCAAGAATACTATAGTCAGCTTGCCAAAGAGAAGGCGGAGGAAATGCTTGCAGACATTTTCTTCTGCTGAGAAAACTGTAGACGTTTCTGGGAGGACAGTTTGCCGACTGCCATTTCGTGGTATGTCATCGGTTTACTCCGCCATTCGACACTGCTTGAGCCTGAGAGGCCCTACTAATGTGACTGTCCCTTCAGCAGAAGATGGGAGAAGAGAATGGGCTGGGCCTCCTGGTCCAGGTCTTGACAGGATTAGCCAGCTGTAGTGAGACTTTAGTAATAGTGACAGGAACAAGTCCTGTTTTCAGACCATGAAAATGCCCTGGCTCTCAAGTTTTCAGTTAAATGAAAAGGTTGGAATCAGATGATGGCAGAGATCACGTCAAACCTGAGATTTGTATTTGTGCTTTGTCTAGCTCTTGGGGATAAAGCAAAGGTTGAAAGTCCCTTGTCTGGTTCTCTGAATCTGAAACAGTTTGGGAGGCTAGGAGTCTGCATTCAAGGCCCCGGCTCTAGGGGAAGGCTTTCTCTGTTGGCTTTGGAGGAAGGTCCTTTTCTCTTGAGCTTCTTTCTGCTCCTAAGTAATCTTTATGTGCTTGACATCTCTCTTTCCTTACATCTCGGAAATGAAAACTCTCAATGGCATGCTATATGCTAGACTGGCAAGTATTTAATTTCTCATTTAATGCCACACTGCCTAGCTGTAGTAAATGCCATCTCTTTTTTCAAGTAAGGAAATTGAAGATCAGAGAGGTTAATTAACAAGAGCCCACAGATGAGGGTGGGATCCAGGATTTGTACTGAGTACTGGGAGTCCTGGTGTGGCCCTCGCTGTGGGTTAATGTGCTGGACTGCAAAATTGGTTTGATCTGCAAGGTCAGTGGTTCAAGCTCACCCCCTGCTCCTCGGAAACCCTATACAGGGTCGCTTTAGGTTGGAATCAACTCAGCGGCACTTAACAATTCCAAGGTCCAGGACCTTCCAGTGTTCCAAAGTGCTGCCCTGAATTACTCAAGAACACAGGATCAAAGTTCTAGTGGTATTCTCAAAACACGATAATGCCAAGTAGACAATTAACACAGTGCCATTTATTGTAAGCTACTGAGATAACACAAATATGTTGTTGTTAGGTGTCATCAGTTCAGATACACAGCGACCCTACGTACAATAGAATAAAGCACATGCCACCATCACAATTGTATATTCTTCCTAGGCTTGAACAAAGGAGATTTTTTAAATTAATACAAATTATTCAAATACCTAATCTGTTTATTAAATACTTAGGTCCAAGTAACTTAGTTTTTACTTCAATAACCACAGTTACTTATTAATGGGGTGTGTTCCCTTGCGTACTGCACAGCTTCTAAAGTCTTAGACACAGAGTAGACCCTACTGCCCTGTGTCCTGGCCATGCAGATTTTCATGTGCTTTTTATCACAGCAGTGGCTGAAGATTCAGTGTCACAAAGATGTCATCAAAGGGAATATAATGCAACTTAACTTTAAAGTTCAAGGCTACCTCAATTTGCAACACTGGATATTTCTTAAGTGTAAAATAATCACACAGTGCCCCTGTGATAGTGTTTGGAAACCATTGTAGGAGGTTGGAGCTAAACATCTCTTTCCTGTTTGTCAGATGCATTGGTCAGATTTAGTTATTGACCCCATGCACAGCTTACCCTCCTGATTGCTTGGGGACCGGATCGTTGTGCTCCGCCAGGGTTTTCACTGGCTGAGCACCAGGCCTTGCTTTCGAGTCCATTGAGTTAGGTCAGTGACGGTGTGGTTTTTCAGACGGTAAATGAGATATAAAGGAAGCATCCTTTCCTGTCTAAGCCCTCTCCACACTGTGTGCTGATGTCATTTATGCCCTTGTCCACTATCATTCAGAAGTTTTAATTCCACTTAATCCTTTGCTGATAGGTCTTTAATTTCAGGTTCAGGAAAATGTGATGGATCCAGATTTCTGGTTAGGAGCCCTGGTGGCAGTATGAGATAGGCACTGGACTTAACCATAAGGTCGGTAGTTCAAACCCACCAGCCACTCCGTGAGAGAAAGATGACGCTTTCTGCTCTCATAAAGATTGAGAGCTTGGGAAATCCTGTAGGGGTTGCTGTGTGTCAGAAAGACTCCATGGCAGGGGGTTTAGTTTCCTATTTGTAGTTCAAATGGATGGGTGTTGGTATCGATAGAGGGAGGTGATTGCCTCGCAAATAGAGGTTTTGCTCTTCATGGACCTCCATGAAATAGTCTCTTTTTAGTTCATGTGCTTGACTCCTAGCACACACTCCATACTGGTCTTGAAATCTTTCCTGTTGGCTTTCTCTTCTGCCTGAACTTTTCACTTGGCTACTATGGTGTCTGTCATATTATAGGAGAGACATCCAGGAGACAGCAAAAACTACAATGAATGTATCCGGCACGAGACCATCCGAGTGGCAGTCTGTGACATGATGGAAGGAAAATGCCCCTGCCCTGAACCCCTACGGTATGTGCCAAGGGGGCCCTGTGTGAGAAATCTTTTGGCTGGTTTGCTCCTTTGAGGAGGCGCCCTCGTGGTGGCACAGTGGTTAAGAAATCATTTACTAACTGGAAAGTTAGCAACTGAAACCCACCAGCCATTCTACAGGAGAAAGATGTGGCAATCTGCTTCCATAAAGATTATGGCCATAGAATCCTACAGGGCAGGGCAGGGCAGTTCTACGTGGGTTTTAGGGTTCTGAGTCAGAATCGATTTATTTGATAGCATTTGGTGGTACCTTTGAGTTGAGTGTTAGGCACCAGAGGGAGATATAGGAGAAAGATATAGTCCATGCTTTCAAAAGAGCAAGTATTGCCGGGTGTTACCAAGGAGAAGTTGAGAGTACATCTCTGTCCTGGAGAGTGCCAAGCCTGATGGGAAAGGTAAAATCATGCCCTTGAGGAGCCCCCAGTGTGATGAGGGCCTTAGCACACGGCATGAAAACACTCCACTGTTTCTCAGTCAAGTGAGCTGTGGAGCACTTTCATACAACTCTGAAAGTTTAGTTCTTAGTGTTAAAACTAGATGAACAAAGCCCGGTAAATTAAATTTCCTAGGAGAATTTTTTGTAAGGTTTAAGAATGTCCTATGGAAAACAAATCAGATTGAGCAAGTCATGAGTTAAAGTTGGAATTCAGCTAGTAAGTATTACAACTTCTCTAAGAAGATCAATCATGGGTAAACACTTGTTTTTTGTTGTTAAACATGTAAAGATTATTATGGGAAAGCAGTTCTGGGCTTGGGAAGTGTAATTGCTGAATTTGGCATTTAGGTTAGGTGGTAAAGAGGTGACTTCCGTTCTTTGCTTGTTTTCCAGGGGGGTGATGGAGAAGTCCTTCTTGGAGTATTACGACTTCTATGAGGTGGCCTGCAAAGATCGCCTGCACCTTCAAGGACAGACTATGCAGGTAATGCAGTAACTGCTTCTATTTCCCCTGGCTGAATGAAATTCTTCCAGAGAATGACATCCAGATCACTCATAGAATGTCAGTGCTAACAGCAACCCGTGTCATAGAGGGGATGATATGGTGCTCAGATGAGTAGTATCTAAACCGTCTTCCTTTATCACCTGGAACGCCTTCCATTATCAGCCCATAGTCTTCTCAAGCCAAGAACATTCAGCCCCTCAGAATCATTGGGGTTAGAAGAATCATCTGTTGGAATTGATGAAATCTCTTTTCTATCTCTAGGATACTAGGAGGTTCTTAGGGAAACGGTAAGTCATACATTGAAAAGACTTACTTTCCAAAGATACTTTCCTGTGTATTGGGGAAATGTGTTTTCATTTCTAGTAAACAGGTGGAATTAGGGCTTGATTGCAAGAAGAGATTCTTACTAACCAAAACCTAGATAACCCAAGTATACCTGGTTGGTAAAGAGAGTGAGAATCTTCTTGTACTAAAAGACCTGTTCTTGAGTCTTTTGGGTCATTTACTGCCGTTCTTACTTAAGAAATGTTAAGTGCCGTTGAGTCGGTTCCGACTCATAGAGACCTTGTATAGGGTTTTCGAGGAGCAGCTGGTGGGTTTGAACTACTGACCCTGTGGTTCACAGTCCAGTGCTGATCCTACAGCACCACACCAGGGTATGACAAATAAACCTCTTTAGTCTCTCCAGCTCTTTCTGGACTATATCTCCCACTCACCCAATACCAACAGCATCAAGAGATGTTATGTTTCCTCATGTGTTTTTGTGATTGGCAGCTTCTCTATTTTTCTTAAAGGCCTTCCCACCCATTTGCCACATTTAAGCTCCAAGATCAAGGCAGGCTCAGAGTGACCTGCTTTCCTGAAGCCTTGCTGAGAGTGTGCTAGACGATGGTCTGTTCCTTTCAGGACTTCTCACTGCAGGCATCCAGCAGTTCTGCCAGTATTCAGTCTGTGGAGGAACAGTAGCTTGTGATGAGGGAAGGCAATGGAAGGCCAGCATTTTGGGAGGAGGCGAATGGATGGGAAACAGCTAAGGATGGAAGAAGGAAGATTTGGAGAATTGACAGCTTCAGACAGCCTTTGGGAAATTTAATTCTCATAAATAAATCAATGTGAGCAGTGGTTGCTCACAGTCGACTAGCATCGACTGACACGCTCATCTTGAGGGGAGCGTGTAGACAAGTGTGGAAGGGTGTAATTGGGAGAAAGGCAAACTCACTGCCAGGGAAGAGTCAATTTAAAAATTCAGTTATTTCATTATTGAGACTACAAGGCGGCTTCAAAATGTTTGTGCAAATTTTCCATTATCTTTCCATTTCAATTTTTCATGAACTCTTTGAAGCCTGCTCATATACACAGCAAAACAGACACCAATTTAACAAATTTCTACATGTACAAGTTAGTGACACTGAGTATATTCATATCACTTACACATGCAGAAATTTCTCCATGTAGTTTAGTGATAGTCAAGGCCCCTAAATTGCACGTGTGTAGCTACTTCAAACCTTTTCTGAGTTGTTGTTCCCTCATTAACATAAACTCACTGCCCCCTAAGGATCCTGTCTAATCTTTGGAGTTATTATGTTGTCAGTTTGATTCCATGTAGAGAGTTCTTAAAAGAACATACTGCAGGAGACAGATATTTTTTAACTAGCTAAACTAAATGATTGTTCAGTTTCTTAAGAAAACTACAGGGGATATTTTTAGTTTAAAATTTAAAGGTGATCTCAGGGCAATAGAAGGAAGTTATTCCTGACTCCCTTCTTCTGTTCCAGGCGAATAGAAACCAATTTACCTTGGATGACTGCTTGCAAGCTTTTATGACCACAGGCACTAACTATTCAAGAAACTAGGAAGTAGAACAGTAGCACTAAACATTATTAGGCCAGTTAACTGGGATGTCCCGTGAAACTGACCCTAACCCTCCAAACCCAGGAACCATGAGGTGTTTGGTTTTACATAAACAACCACAGCAGCTTCTTTTTTTTGTCATTGTGAACGTATCTGTTAGAGCTTTTGCCAATTCTGTTTCTTAACAGGTGTACAACTTACTGATAGCAGTTAAAATAATGGGCAGTACAACCTCCTCCTTGCAACATTTTTATACTCTTTTAATATATTTTCCACCCAACCTTAGTTATTTTTGAGATGTTGAGGACAGTTTATCCCTCTCTATAGAATGCAGGTCTTTGACCTAGAATGAATGGTTAAGAATTAGGGTTGTATACAGCCCTGGAGTGATAACAGAGACCTTTCTAGGAGTGTAGGATAGGTCCCTGGGGAAGCTGTTTATCTGGATGTCAGAGCTCCTGAGGCCTTAGAAAAGCAGATGACTCTGTTGGAGTATGTTAGATGAAGGTTATTTTTCCCTTTGTATGAGTTTATGAGGTTAATTTAAAAAAAAACAAAAACATTTATCTTCCCCCTTCTGCCTGTTGACTTGTGAAGAATGCAAGTACATTTTAAGTGGGTCCTAAGCCAGATCTTTTTGGAGTGGTAAATGTGCCATAATACTCCTAACTACCACGATTGTTGTCTTCTGGGTAGGGACTCGGCTATGCCCTTCTCAGTTCCCAGAGCTCAGAAGTGAATATGCCTTTTCACATGGGCCCAAGCTGCTGTTTCTAGTGTGAGCCACCCAGATGTGAATCTTCCATTGCCCTGTTTCCTTTCCCCACAGGACCCTTTTGGAGAGAAGCGGGGCCACTTTGACTACCAGTCCCTTTTGCTGCGCCTGGGACTGATCCGTCAGAAGGTGCTGGAGAGGCTCCATAACGAGAACGCTGAACTGGACTCTGATAGCAGCTCGTCTGGGACAGAGACAGACCTGCATGGGAGCCTGAGGGTTTAGACCCTGCTCCCCACTTCCCTCCTCCCCTCTCGAGTCCCAGCCAAGCCCCTCCCCCACCCCAGGGATGGAGAGGCACTGTGTGTTTCCCTCCAAACTTGACATCATCCTGCAAGATGGCAAGACTCAAGCAAGCTCCAATCCCAGGGTGTGGGAGTTGGGAGGCTCTTCCCCATCTGACCTCCTGGGCTCCAAACATCTGGAGCCATGATCATCCCATATCAGGGGCCAAGGTACCTATACAGGAGCACGTAGGGCGAGGGCCTCTGGCAAAACAAAACAACCAACACACCTCTCCACAGGGCCAGCTCCTTAGGAATAGGTGAAAGACAAATTGTAATTCTAAGAGGGAATGCGCCCAAATGATTTATGGGGCTATCTGAAGGGAGCTTGGGAGGAAGGGGAGCTGTCTGTGACACTTAAGCAGTCTGGGTGGTTGTGTGTCTGTCTGTCTTCAGTCTTGAAGCAGGGCTTCCTAATACCTGTTTTCCTCCCTCCCATCACTGCCCACAGGCCAGCGTACTTTTGTTTTTCCTAATTTATAGTCACTGTTCTAGACAGACCAAAGAGAAAGAACAGTGGTGGCGTCTAGGCTGCTGATCAGTAAGCTTTACCTAGCACCTGAGCACCTTTCTCCTCTACCCCAATTCCCTTACCCTATTCTAGATAACAAGACAGGAGGACAGTGTGACTGGGATGGAACCAAGGTCTTGGTAAAGCCTGCACAGGCTCCAAAAGAAGCTGAAAATACTGTTCCCGCAATCACTGATTTGAAAAGTTCCCAACACAGCCAGCTGTTGTGTGTATTGGATTAGAGCCACTACATAGAACAGTCTCTTAAAGACTTTCTCTCTCTTGGGGGTGGGATTTTAGGGGGAAGACTGATGCTACTCCTAGAATACTTGTTTGGCTGTCCTTGTGTGTTTTTACTCCAGCCTCCAGGGACTTGTGGGGAACAAGGGTAGCCAATGGCAGAAGGGGATTCAGGCTGGGACTCTGGAGGCTCCTCCCCTTTCTTCCCTCTCCTCCCAGCTGCTCTTGTCACTGGCTCTGATGGGTGTTTGCCTGGCAGTGTTGCTTCTCTATCTGTATTTAGCGGCAGCGATCCTTTAGCTGGTTGGCTCCGAAACCTGTGCTTTAGGTGCCCTTTAATACTGGGCATCGAGGGAATCCATTCTACCCCTTTTTGGATGTGTTTTCCCGTACTTTCCAGATTCTTTGTTTTATGGCTCCCAGTGGGCTATCCGTGATCCATGTGACCCAGGGCCTGTCAGTATCCAGCCACCTATAAGGGAGAGGATAACTTGAACCTTCCCTGCCCGCTGCTATGAAGGTGTCTGCCTTGTGGATCATGGGATTCCCCTTGGGAAATTGGGGGTGGGAGGGTGGGCACAATGGAAAAGGTCCTACTTGGGAGGGCAGGAAGTAAGCAAACTGGATAGGGACTGGACCTGGGGTATGGAAGTTTGTCTTGGATAGCTGAGGGTTGGGTCTCTTCGCATGAAGGGGCCCTGCTTCCAGTTTCCCTCTTCCATTCCCAGAGTTAATCCAGGGTTTGGAAGAATGCCCTTGGTCTATAGGTCCAGTGTTGTCTATCATCCATTGAAGCGTCCCCACTTTCAGTGACAATCCTCTCCTTGGCCCTGCCATGGGCAGAGCATGTCTGGCATTGTGGCCTGACTTTTATGCCCTAATCTTAAGTAGAGGAAATATATGCACAGGAGTCAAAAGAGATGTCTTTATATCTGACTGTACATAAAATGAAGTTTTTTTTTTTCTTTTTGGTGCAATAAAGTTTGTTTTGGCAGAAGGAGGAAGCGCCTATGGGTGAGGGAGGGTTTGCGAAGGGAAGAATGGTGGCTTCTGGGCAGATAAACCTTACTAGATTGGAGCTGTCAGCTAGGATGAAAGTGGCTCAGCGGACTGCCTGGAAACAAATAACTTGGGTTGTATAGATGAGCACAGGATTTGGTGAAAAGCATCCCACCAACTTGGAGTGCAAGGGGCTCTTTGTTTTTTTGTGCCTGGCAGGCAGTGAAAGGCATACCATGTTAGTCTCAGTCATCGCCAAGGGAATGTTTTCTAAGCTTTGAGGAACTGACAAGGACAGGTAGAGGTGGGGTTAGACTCCTAAGAAAAGTATGTCTTCAGGGTGAAGTTATTGCTGAATTTTTCAATTTCCTGTCACTAAACCTAATCCCTCTTGGAAATTGAGCATGTAGGCCTTGAAGATTCTAGGTGCTACAATCCTTTGAAGTCTGAATTACACTTGAGAAAATTTTTTGAGGTAGTGTGGCTTTTGTCAGTAGGATGTATGTCCTAAGGGGTTCGCTGGTGCAGGGTTTGGTGAGATGCGATAAACCACCACCAGGTGGCAGCATGCACTCAAAATGGGATAGCCACTTCCCATCAAACAGCAGAAGGGTAAAATGTGGGTGACTCCTGTGCATCATAAAAGGGTTCAACTGGCCACCTAGCTCATGACCTCTACCTCTTACACTACGTTCTCTGTCCAGAGGCGTTTCCCTCTGACTGACCCAAGTGTAGGAGGATTGACCTGGCCTTGCCACCTCTACTGTGCAAAGCAATGAGCGAAAAGTGTGGGCTCTGCAGTGAGTCGACTTAGGCTCTGACTTGCTGTTGCTAGAACTAGGCAAAAACACCCACTTGATTTTGAAGGTAGGTTTAAGAATTAAGGTGTATATAAAAGGAGCCCTCACAGCATAGTGGACTGAGCTGGGCTGCTAACCACAAGGTCAACAATGGTTCCACTAGAAAAAGATGAGGCTTTCTGCTCCTGTATACATTTACAGCCTTGGAAACCCTATGCAGGGTCACTGAGTCAGAATACTCCATGGCACATCACCACCATATCAAATGTGGCAGAGGGTAAAGTGTTTTCCACCAATCTAGCCACATTTAACAGACTTCTACTTCATTCACTCTTAGCTAAGTCTGTCACAAACTGCAGCCACCACACAAAGCTGTAAAAGACTGAACAGTATGTACTGCTCCATCTGCTAGTGTTGAGGTAAGGAGTGTTTTATTGTTGCTAAATGCCACAGCAACCCTGTGTAGGGTTTCTGGAGCGGCTGGTGAGTTTGAATCGTTGACCTTGCAGTTCAATTTTCCTATGGCGAGATACCAGGACTCCTTTAATGAATGTTTCACCACTACAGAAAAACTAAACTCTAGCCAGGAAACTGTTAATTCTGTGAACCACCACAAAACTGATCATGCCAGCTGTCCTATGCATAAACGTGCAGATTACCTGGGGCAGTCATTTTAGATATGCTCTCTCCATCCTGTTATTCTTACCTCCAGTAAAGATGCAACGTGAAAGCACTTAAAAAAAGTAATGGGTTAAGAAAGAAAAACCTGAAACATTTTTTCTACTTCTATTTTTTTAAAAAACCAAAATTGTTCCGGTGTTCTTCACCAAGAGCTCCTCCATCTTCTCCCCACCTGCTGCTGTGCCTCACCCAGCCTCCCAGTCAGGGGAAGGATTCTCTGACTTCCTCAGCGCTAATCTCCTGGGAGTAAAGGTCAGTGAAGAGAGCTGGCAGCCAGTAGTGTGCCTCCCCGGGAGCCTGCAAGTCCAGCCAGGCCAGCCCTTCCTTCAGCAGGTGCTCCTGGAGGAAAGAGGCAGGAAGAGTGACTGGAGAAGGGTTTCCACAAACAACAGGGCAGACAAACAATCCCCAAGCCTCATGGCTTCAGTGAGGCTTTCAAAGTAAATGTACTGGAGTGCCTTCATACGTCCAAACTAAAGTGATGGTTTGCTCTTGCCCTTTGCCGAAAGTGTGGACAATGCAAGTCCTCTAATAAATGCTGTGTGTCCTGGAGCAAATGAAGGACTTGGTTTTCTCTGTTGCAAAATGGAAATCACAGTGCCTGGGTAATGGACAGATGTGGGGAAACCTTTATGGAGATGTGACTAGGAAGACCATGGCTAGTCTGAGAACGCACTTAGGACTCCTGGAGCTGGATATACAAGGATGCTACAAAAAGTTCAAGGACAAATAGAATGAAAAGATCATGGATTTTTCCATGAACTTTTTGAACCCCGCTTATATGCTCAAGATGGCTTGGCGCCCAGTATCCTTAGGCAGATCTGCATCTCACAGATGAAATTAAGTCTACAGAGTTGAACAGCTTGGATAGGAAAGGTACTGAAGGCCAGAGCTCCAGTAACTCGTGCTGTTCCCTCTTCACAGCACAACCCTGTCTGTCTGGCACAGCTACTGGTAGGTCCAAACAACTGTCCAGTTAGCAGGCAAGCACTTCACCACGAGGGTCCTCTGATCTTTCATCAAACCAAAGCCAAAACTCATTGCCATCAACTTGATTCCATCTCACAGCAAGCCTAGGGACCAGAGTGGGAAAGCCCCCAGGGTTCCCAAGGCAATCAGTCTTTTAGAACGGTAGCGGGCACATTGTTCCTGGGGGTTTCAGCAGTTGAGGGCTTAACCACTGCACCACCAGGGCTTCTCTTGATCTTTCCTTTCAGTACCATGAAAAATATGTATGTATACAATATGCACTGTTGCACTGGTTCCAACTCACAGTGACCCTATGTAAGGTTCCAAAGGAGCTGCTGGTGAGTTTGAACCATCAACCTCGCGGTCAGCAGTCCAGTGCTAATCCTACAGCACTACATCAGGACTCATGCAACACAGTAGAAAATAATTACAGATACATAATTTTAATAAGGCCCTTCACTCTGTACTAAGTGCTACTTCCTGTACAAACTATATTAATAATCTGGCCAGCCACTCCCGGCTTAACATACCTAGGAACAACAACAGATGATGTTGAGTCCCCAGTAGCAATGGTGGCCTGGTACTACATCCACACTAGCATCAGAAGGCTGCTTGTGTGAAGTCTACCTTCTCAGTGCCATCTTCAGAGGAATGCCAGTCCTATTGCTAGTGTGGCAACAGTAGTGTTCAATAGGCCGCAATGATACCTACCCACCCACCTCGTCCTCCCATCTTAGGCCCAGCTTCCCTGGATTCCAAAGTCACGTACCAGCACTTGTCGCGCTCGTTCTGTCTCCCATTTAAGACTGGCTTTGATTTCACTGACAGTCACGTAGCCATTTTTCTGCAGGAAGGAAGAATGGGGATTGAGACAGTCCAGAAGGTACTTTCCCTTAGAATCCAGCATCTGTCCAGGGAAAACAGATTCATCCAGACAGGAAGAACTGCCCTTGGGCTAAGCCTAAGTGCACAGAAAAAGAATGTTTTGAGATTCCAGTAGAGAGAGGGGTGACTTTCAGGGTGATGGGTTCATTCTTAAGAAGTAGGGTCCTAGGTACTTAAATAATAAGTTAGATGCCCTCAAAGAACTCTATAGAGTATGTCCAAGGATGATTAACTGATAGAAAAGGATGTGATAAACTATTAATAATCTAAAATATTTAAATATTTAGCCTTTGTTCAGTCTCATTCTACCCATTGCCCAATGAAGAAAAGCCCTCCCTTCTTTAGTTTAGTTTGACAGAATTAAGAAGATCAAACATGTCTTCCCTCAACACATGACGTGGACTTGGGGAAAGGTAGTATATGTTTAACTCATGCTAGGGAGCAGAAGGATAGAAAACTAGATTATAAGTTTAGAAGACATCAAAGAAATATTTTAGTTGTCTGCATGTCTGTCTATTCCACTAGACTGTAAGCTCCTTGAGAGCAGGCACTGTATTTTACTCCTCATGCCCTGCAGCCTAGCCTAGCACTGCAGCTGCTCAATAAATATCTGCTAAATAAGCACAGGTCTGAGTAGTTCATCATTAAAAGATCTAGGTCATGGGCAGAGGTCAGAACTGCTCCCCAACTCCAGCTAATACAGCCCCCCCGTCACCCTCCACTCAGTCACACACACACACACAACTCAGAAGGCACACAGGTACCTCTGCCAGCTGTAGCACCACAGTGTGATCCATATTGAGCTCAGCTGGAACAGACTGAATGAGGTAAGTGCCGCCCACAGGGATGATGCTGAAGCCAGTGCCAAGTGCCTTTAGTTTCTTGATGGCCCTGATCAGGTCGTCCCTGAGATGAGGAAGAGCTGCTTAAAAACTCATGGCAGACCAGACCTCGCAACAATGCAGTTTCAGCTCTACCCTGGACAAGAAACCCTGACAAGACTCAACTACATTAGTAAAGGACAGGACTAAAGAGCACAAATGATACTTGAGTACTTGAGGGAGTGGACTAGGAGTCAGGCTCTGCATTCAGAGCACAGACCATCCCAACACCCAGACAGAAGTACAAAATAGGCCTACGGGAGCCCACCAGGAACTGTGAGGAGGAAGTGGAATTAAGAGGCGACAGGAGTAGTGTACTACTATGGCAAATTAGACAGTGCATCTGCCCACTCTAAAGGGACCAACCCAGCCAGCCACTTGGAAATTCAGGTCGAGGACCACTAGATTTTCTGATTTTTTCCCAGAGTCTGGAAAGTTAGATTTTAAGTGAAATCCTGATCCCTTAGTTGACAACTTACTCAAATTAAAAGAAAATCCACAAAACTCTGTACAGGCCAGATAGCTATGTAAATGGTTACAACCTCGAACAAAGCCCAAGAATGCATTACCTAATCATGAGGGAAAGCAGCTTTCTCCAGCCCTCTAGAATAGCAAATGAAGCCCTGTCACAAATGCACTAATCCACCCTCTCTTCATGAGAATGTTATCTGCAATGAGTATGGTTAGTTATCTTTTGTCATCACTTTCTTTCTGATTATTCCTGGTCACCATGATCTGTCTCGTACTAGGCTGGCTCCTTGGGAGCTACGTATAAACCATCCTTTT